GACATGTCTTTTTGCTACTAACTGACAATGTTGTGTCAGTACCAAAAAGACATGTACATCTAATAGAAACATCTTTATTAACATTTAAATAAAAATTCAGGGAAATAAACTGGGACTACAACGAATGGCTTCATAAATTGTCAATGATTTAGACCATCATTTCCAGATTTATAAAGTACTTGTTTAGTCTGTTTATTGACCATAACAGTGAAAAATGCCAATCTAAATCCAAATATGTTTACTCTTATAGATGCCTTTCACACATGTATATTCCTCCAACCAATTGTCAAAGTAGTCTGGGATACGTTTAATGGTTGACAACTTACTAATTATCATTTTCAACTCCATTTATGTCAACCGAGAATCAGTGCAAATGTTATAAAGCTACGCTAGCTAGCTAGCTTCCACTTATAGGCTGTAATTCAAACTCTCTAAAACAATGGATCCTCTAACATGTAAAAATGTTTCAAAAGGACAGACAGCTTAAATTTCTTATTTTTTATAAAAGTAAAAAAGTAGTTTTAAATGATATGATCTATCATATGATTACACTCACAATTCTGTGTCTTTGCACACAGAAAAACACCACTCAACAACACAAGGTATTTTGGCTTGCACTCAAGTATAATGTAACACCTTTTTACTTTGCAAGATGATATATGAGGAAGGTCAAGTGAAAAAATATAATACATCAAAATGAAGTCTGCATTCTCTTTGAGTTGAAAGTGTTACTTTATAAGGCATCTCCGTCTCCAATCAAGTGTAACTGAAGATTAGAGTCAGGGAGGACGTATGTCTTTGTCCATCAGCATCAAGCTATGAAAGCTTTAAAATTGCCATAGTCTGCATCCTCACTTGGCCTACATGCAAAATACATAATCCTCCCAAAAAGTATTGGTGAGGATTTGTGTCTTAGTCATGCTCAGATTCTCACTTTACATTTGACTGTATCTCTATCTAACACACACACACACACACACACACACACACACAGGCACTGCACACACACTCATCTACCCCTGAAAGTACCTCTCTTGATTGTTTCAGGGTTGTTGAACTACCTGCTAGTGTTGTTATTTTTATCCCTTTAGCCCCAGAGTTAGTCGCTGAGTGGATAATTTTGTGTAGCACATGATTGCCTTGTCTTGATTCATATGCGGTGTGTTTCATTTCGCTGAGGCTCTTCTCTGGCAAACATTGCCAGCAGCTACTGTTGAAGAGCGTCAGAGGATGTAGAAAAAGTGTCTGCATGTGTGTATGATAGGGATGTGCTAAGTAGGAAAACTAGAGCCAGGGAGGAAAAGGTAAAAAGAGTTAAATGTTTGTGCGTATGAGAAAGGTTCACAGAGAAAATAGGACATTGTCAGACATATGAGATTGCTCCAGACATGCTGCAGGCCATGCAGCTTAAGTACATCACAGCAAGGCTGGAGGTTTGCCAATAATCTGTGTGTGTGTGTGTGTGTGTGTGTGTGTGTGTGTGTGTGTGTGTGTGTGTGTGTGTGTGTGTGTGTGTGTGTGTGTGTGTGTGTGTGTGTGTGTGTGAGTGAGTGAGGGAGTGAGTGAGAGGCAGAAACAAGGACTACATGCTTTTCTCTAACCAGATAGATCTATCTGGAGCTGCGCCAGTGTGTGTGAACTTCTTCCAGACTATCCACCCATTACTCCACAGGACCTCTCTCCACCTTTATCTCTTAAAACTCTCAGAGCTGACAACACTAATCGGGACTACATCTCCAGCTGGCTGACAGCCTGGCGTCTTTAAACCAGAAGTCTAAGTTCAGTTTGAATTTCAGGTGAGAAAACTTCTACCCTAAAAATAACAGAAAGGAACCTTTGCGTTTGACTATACCAAATACTCCAATTTATAATTAGAAGCTTTTTAATTAAAGTACATATCAGAGGACAATTTCTTTTTACTATTTTGTCTCAAAAGCGGTCACACAACAGTCACTTTTTTGACGTGAAATGATAGTGACATTGTCTGCTTTAATTAAGGAAAAATAATATTTGTCGATATTTTGGTGACAGATTAACTTTAGACATTTTGCATGAACTTTAAAGCTCCTGTCAGTTTTTTTACAGGTTTTGAAACAGGCTGAAATTAATACTGATGCCTCTTCATGACCTACAAAAGTGATCTAAACCATCTGTGGTAAAAGTGAATATTTTTGTCATGTATTTTTCTTATGCGTGTGACCACTGCCAGGGGGTAGGTGTCGGACAAGGTGAGCAACAGCAGCCTGCAGCCTATTTTATACTGTGCTCAGAGATTAGTAACAATTAGTGATACATTTGACTGCATGTTTTTTTTGCATTTGACTACTTATGCACTTGGGACATGATCAGATAAAAGGTTCTGCTGCTTGTCCACCAGGGGCACTAAGATTGATACCAACCAAAAGTTCCTCACAACAGCTTTAATGAGTTCTGAATTTTTTGTACATATGGCTTGGTTAGAATAATGTTTTTGTGTACACGTGTGGGTAGATGGTTAATGTGGCTAGTTGATACAAACTTTGCAAGTTTTGTCTACATACACCTCCAGGTCCTCTCTGTTCCCATCATCACTCATTGTCATGTTTACTTATTTCAAAGAGACAGAACTTTTGATCACTTTCAAGCCGGAGTTTAAAAGAATCATCTACTGGAGTTACACAGTGTGCTGGGGAACCAGGACTTAAAAAAACCTAAATTGCCAAAAGGTGCAAAGCATCAAGCAGCTTTTACGAGAGCACTTGTGAAGAGAGAACATCGTGTCACAGAAGCTGGCTCCAACATCAAGTCGGATCCAGGAACAAATTGTAACAACTTGCCTAAACACTGTAATTATCTTGCCAGCAAAGTTGAATTTATTTCTTAGGTCTGGTTTTAATTCTTTATGGCACAGAGCTGATATTCACATGGCAATATAGAAATTCATACAACTGTAACACCATGCTATTATTTAGCCTGTACTGGCCTGTCATAGGTACATTACTGTTATATTTGTTTTCCAATATAAGAATGCTTTACAGGATATGTAGTGCAGAAAACAATGCTTGGGTTTGTTTATAACTGTTGTCATCTCCCAGTTTTTTGAGCAGAGCATGCCCCATACACCCCATAGTTTACACCGCTCGCTACACCAGTGGTTCTCAACTAGTGGGTCGGGACCCAAAAGTGGGTCGCAGAGTCATTTTCAGAGGGTCGTCAATGTGTGTCTGAAAAAAAAAATGTTGTGCTTGTCTATGATGTGCTTTTAAAACATGTTGTTTTGTTCTGTCTGTCTGTTCCATCTGAGGTCTAAACTGTACTTTTGTTCATTAAATAAATCTGAGTGGGTTCTGATTTCACGTTAAGGAGGTGGTAGTGGGTCCTGAGGCTAGACCAGTTGAGAAACAGTGCTCTACACTGCAGCACATGAAGCAGATAAACACAGCTGAGATTTGTGATTTTTTTCAACTCAGTGTCCTTATCAGTCTTACGTTTTTCCGAATCAACAGCGGCTCTAATAGTTCCTTTTTTAAATACATTTCCTGAAAAGCTGTATATGAACATCTTTAATATCTAAATGCATGTGAAAATACAACGTTTTATACAATACAAGTTCCTTCACTTGATTTCTCAGCAGGCACATGTAGCAGAAAATATCAATATTTTCTTGTAACTGATGCACTGACTGTCTATTTGTTTTTAAAGCAGGGGTGTGTCGGATTTTTCCAGCATGCCTGGCTTAAACAAAGTACTAATTAACAGCCCCCATTATCTTGTGTGGTATGCTAGCGTAGCAATTAACGGCTTCTTTCTTTTAATTTCAATTTATCCAAATGCTCTGATGTCTGAAGTTACACACAGCAACTAGTGTATGCTGGGTAAACAGCTGCAAAGCCCACTGACATTATTTTAAGTTTTGTTCACCACTCTAAGGGCACACTCACACTAGGCCCACTTGGCCCGTACTGTGCTTAAGCACAGTTGTCTCCATTCCCCGCTGGCCTGAACTAACACTGCTCAAGGACTAACCGGGCCTGAGCATGGTTACCTCTTGTACAAAACGTCTTCTTAATACAACAGATGCATGGCTTCACATAATTATGAAGCGTTCTTAGTTTACGAGACAGGCGGAATCGAAAATTTAAAAAAGTTAAAGGGCCCGCTCGAGTTTGCCTTTGATGGAACAAATAAGCACCTCTGATGACGGAGAAAATAACACACCTAATTGCTGCACCGAATAATATAACTTTTGCTTCATGGAGGAAATCACTAATCCAGCAGTCAGCATTTCTATCTTTGCTCTTTAGTAGAAGATGTTTATAAAAAAAATATCACATTTCTAAATGCATAAATTAAACTGTGTTTATGATAGGTCAATTGAGACCTCTGTGTCCCTGAAGCCCCGTAACCCCCCCCCCCCCCTCCAGGCCCTGAATCTCTCTTCACTCTGCTGGTAAACGTGTTTGTCTTGGCTCATATAGTGTGCACCTTCCGGAAAGCACACAACTTTTACAGGAGTTTTCCAGGACTCACGCAGACTAACATTTACACATAACCTCCACACACATAAAAGGGTTCCTGTTCTGGCATTAGCACACACCCGCACACACCCGCACACAGGCGCACAAACACACACACACACACACACACACACACACACACACAGAAGTACACATCAACATCAGAGAAAAGTACACAACAGCATCTGACGGGGAGACAGCTTATATTTCCACTGAGTTCAAGACGGTTCACTTTTCAATGAAAAGACAACAGATGTCACATTTATTCAGGGATATTAGTTTTGAAAGAAACACAAGATCCCCGGGTCTTCTGGAGTCATGACTGACCCTGCTGTGATTTTTCTTCATCCTACTTCCTATGTGTCAGCACTTTCCTGAACTATAGCTTCATCTCCTTTGGCAATCATCTTTTCTTGCTGATTCTAAACTTTAGCCTTCCTCTCTTTCCATCATTTCTAACTCGTGTAATTCCTCTCCTGTCCTGTCTTTTTTTCCTTCTCTCAGATAGGGCTGTTGGTAGCGTGTTACCAAGGTTTCGTTGACGTGGTCATAGCGCTGTCCCAGTGTCCATTTCTGGATGTCAACTGGCAGGACAGCGAGGGGAACACAGCTCTCATCACTGCTGCCCAAGCAGGTAATACACAAACAGACACACACATGGACACAGTTGTTTACTATAGCCATTAGGCAGTTTGGCACTTATGCTGACAGAGATGAACACAAGCATAAAAAACAAGTCTGCACTTGCTGTACTTTTCAAAAGAGAAGTGATGAGTGTGTTGTGTGAATAAGGACCAGCTGTACGGATGGGGATGTTATTCTTCAAAACAAGATGGACAAGTGTGATTGAGCATTTAGCAGCTCTCATCCAAGCCAACTTTGCAGATAACTCTGCATCTCTCTGTTCTTCAAGGACACATAACAATCACCAACTATCTCCTCAACTTCTACTCTGGGTTGGACATCGAGAGTAGAAACTGTCATGGCTTCACAGCTCTGATGAAAGCCGCCATGCAGGGCCGGGTGGAATGTGTGCGCTCACTCATCATGGCAGGTAAGGAAAATGTTTATTATTACACAAAATGAACTAAACTCCAACTCCCAACTCCAAATGCCTCCATTTTCCTGCAGCCAGCACTGGCCTTTTAAGCTCTGAGGCCAGGTGTACCCGTTGTTCAGTCAGTAGTTTCACCTGGTCTGGAGACAACAGGAAGTGGAGACGGAACAAAACAGCATAGGGAAACATACAGCCGTAACAGCCAATTAGAATTCGAAAATAAAGGAAAGACTGATAATTTAAAAATGTCATATATGTGTTTCCATCTTTAGCTATGTTGCTTCACTGATATATCATATTCATGGTGTCCACCAGGTGCCGCTTTGAATTCCAGGGACTTCGGCCGCCAATTCAGTGCCAGGGAGTGGGCCTTATTTACGGGCCGTTATGAAACAGCCTGGGTGATGACACGCCTGATGGAACGGCCCTGCCCTCACCAGTACTGTGATACATACAGGTAAACTCATAGCTGTAAACCATATACCAACATCTGGAGTAAAGGCTGGCGCCCATTGCTGCAGCGTTGTCAAAATAGAGATCTAAGGATATGTGATGGACAGGAGGCAGCTTTGCATGTATAGAGGGAATAATACTGACTTGTTTTCAGGGGGACATCAATATTCATGGGAATTACAAAAGGTGTTGGTGTGTGTGGTTATGATGTAACGTTTTGCCTCGAGGCTTTAGCTTATTTCCCTTTTCTTGCTCCTTACTTTGGCAAATCTTCGACTCAGCATTTTGAGAGCTGTCTGTGCATATGTCGTCTTGATATAATTTGATTTTTATCAGGGTTTCTGGACAGATCTTGCCATACAAATGTGTTGATTTAATGCACTTTATTTTGCTTTGAGTGTGGCTACTTTTTTCTAGTTTCTCTGTTCAGTTCTCTAAAGATGTATTACACACTTCCCCTCCCAGTCTAGAGTGGCCCCCGCTGGCATCACTGGTGGCCAAGGCCCAGGAGCCCCGCGGTTGTCTGAAGCGCCTGTCTGACACTGTGCGGAACGTATTCAGCATGGCCAACGTTACCAACCCTGAGGATGAAGGTGTCATCGACCACATGGTTTCTATAACAACTGCCATGAGGAGCCCTTTTATTGCTGTGGCATGCCATACAGTGAGTATTTAAGCTATACATTATTTTCTTTATTATACATTGATTTATTAATCTGCACTCAATAAGATCCAAGAACTCAAGTACTACAGCAGCCCTCATGTCCTTCAACGCACAGGATACACTCAGCACAGTCTGCGATATCAGACCCAGGTTTAATGTTAGATGGAGCCAAAAAGTTTAACATAATTTAAAATCCATGCCACTGACTCTTTAATTAGTAATTATGTTCATAGTCATCAACCAGTGTGCAAACTGGTTGATGATTATATCTTGCTACTACTGCTATAATCTGCACTAATTTATCTTTTATTTATCCACCAACTCGTAGATATTCCCTGGATTAATTATAGTTATATTTTAGTATCTTTTAATGAATGTGATTAATGCAGGCTTTATCTAATAAGTAGGTAATGGCAAGATTAGCACCACTGCAATCTTGAAAGCAAAATGGAGACTAAGTACTGCTTGTTAAAAAGATTAGAATGCCATCATCATCACAGCAGCAGTGATACTTAAAGTATAGCACTGATGTTTGTGCTAGTGACAAAGTCAGACACTGTTTTTTGTTTTGTTTCAGGTGTGTCCTGACAGTCCCCCAAGTGTGGGCAAACGGAGCCATGCAGTCCCTGAGATCATCCGTCAACAGCGCGCCAAAGAGCTTCGATCCATCAACCCGAACAGGGCGGACAGCCACCTCAAACTCTTCCAGAACTCCCGGGTCACACTGGTGGCCAAGAACTCAGTAGACCGCCGGGCCAGCCTTCAGGTTCAGAGCCTGGTTCCCCGACAGAGGAGCTCCAGCCTCAGCATCGTGACTTATAATGAAGAACTACGAAGGACTAGTCTACTGCCTTTAAATATGGTGCTGAGGAGGAGCAGTGTGAGGCCGGGATTCAGCATCCCTAAAGTCAGGGTGTCTAAGGCGCCCACCCCCACTTATGAACCTGAAAAGATCCGGAGAAGGAGCAGCTGCAAAGATGGAGCAGGGCACCTGCTGCAGATCCCAAGGTGGCGCTACAAGGAGCTGAAAGAAGAGAGGCGGAAAGCAGAGGAGGCCGAGAGGAGGAGGCTCGAGACCATAACCAAAAGACACCTTGCTGCTGGAAAAAGGAAATAACATGAAATAACTCCTGACGATGTCATGTACACTAACAACAAAAGGTGATCAAATCTGGATGGCCATCAAGTTTGAAAAACTTGGCTTTAATGTTTTATACCACAACATTAAACATATATATATATATATATATATATATATATATATATATATGATCAGGGTGACTACATTTACCAGCAGTGTTTTAGCAGACAGGAGACGAAAGGCTGTTTTTGTCAGCCCAGTTTTGCAGTACTAGGTGGCCTTTCAAAAATTGTCTGCCAGCGCTTTGACAGTGCACAAAGCTTCGTGTCCTTTCTGATGTCAAAGGCTGATGCCCAGGGGATTTGATACTTGAATTGTTTGTAGCTAACTTATTTTTATTTCCTATTTATTGCTTTTTTTTTAAATTCTTTTTTTTTAGATTTTTCTTTTTGGGGCATTTTCTGCCTTTACTGGAGAGACAGGACAGAGTTGGAAATCAGGGAGAGAGAGAGAGTGGGGAACGACATGCAGGAAAGGAGCCACAGGTTGGATTTGAACCTGGGCCGCCCGCTTTGTAATGTGTTGGACTATTTTAAAGCAGACACTTATTCACACACATTCTCTCAGACTGTTACCAGAGCAGAGTTTTTTTAATCTTTCTGCCTAAAATGAATGCAAAGCAACTTCTTAAAGACATTATACAATAATGTCTTTATATATTCAGTGAAGGTACTAATGGCCATGACATGTTGACTAAGTAAGC